ATGTATACTGTCTCCTCTGCTATTTTGAAAATAAAATATCCAAGAAATCGAATTGTGCCTCAGCCTGCCTCAGTGTAAAAAATGAAAAAGGCTTCTAACTCACAATCTTACTACTCCCTAGCCTTTATCACCACTGCCGTCGTGTCCGTCTTTTCAGTATTAGCTTAATAAAAGCTTTCCACGGAATACCAGCTCATGTCTTAAGCAAAATAGAGCAAACCTTACTGCAAAAGTTGACAGTGTTTGTAATATTCAGTGGCGCAAATTTCCTCCCAGCAATACTGGATAAGTACACTCTAACGTTCACATCACGTCTTACTCATCGGACTTTATTTGCTGGCGTGGTCCTTGTGCTATTCTGTATGTCACTCATCTAATGGATAGTCTGATTACATAAGTGGTCACGACGTCACAAGTATCTTCCGTTCTAATCACTCTCACTGACACTATCAGTGTCCGCTCTCCTACTTTCGTCAATGAACAAGTTTCGCTTTCGCATGTAGTGACATTGAAGCGGTGAGCATGGTTGTTCTTTTTTCATCTGTTTCAGGGCCCCGTCAATGCTGTGAAAGTCGCGTCAGCCGGCAGATCTTCCACGTGTAGTCTTCAGCCAAAGTTTACGACGCACATTTGCGCCCAGGCTAAGAGAGAGATAGCTGTTTTCCTTCAAGTCAACATTGCAGTTTATGTTACATCATCTTCGTTTTTGGTACATTAATTTCTTCCTACTTGGAGTTACCAAATTTCGCACCCTTTTGTATCCTGACACTATTTATTCTATTGACACTGGCATTCCGAAAAAGTGAAATACCTGAGTCAAAATTTTGCAGGCGTATGAATAATTAAACAAGGTTAAATTCGGCAGCTTAATCACAAATTTTATGCTTGATAATTTCTGCATTTTTAAAACTTTCCAGTTAATTTTATTACTCGTTCTGAAATTCAGTAGTTTTTTCTCTTTCCTGGTAAAATTTTTCTCTACTCATGATAATTTATAGTATCTTTTCTTCCTACGCGGGCATTTTCGAGTTCTTTTTGCTTAGTTTGCTATTTGGATACGTCAGTTCGTAATAAAAGGTAAAAGCAAGGTGTATAACGATTTGCAGTCGCAAAAGTAAAATAATAAAAAGTTGGTACGCACATCGTTGGTTTGTAGAGCACAATACTGCTGCAACTTTACCAAATTTCCAGCGAAAATTTCCACCAAATTGAAAACTGCAAAAGGACGGTGCGCGAAAGACTTGATGCATAGAATTCTGGCTAGTTCGTGAAAATGATCCTTGAGATCCGCATATATCTCACGCACTTGTTTCGTACCACTGCCAAATAAACTGAAAGAGGAAAACTTCGTTCAAAAATCGTGATGCAGAATGCCTATGTTTTTTGGTCGGAGAATCACATCTGTGTACGGCAGTAGGCTTCAGAATGTGAAAAACGATGAGAAAAGCAAACCGAACCCACATCCAATGCAAAGTCAGCACAGCGCTAATAAATTTGCTCGTACAAGCAAAAGCAAATTGCAGAAATGCATGCAAATGAGCGAAAATTTAGCCATTTTGTGAACATCAAGAAGAGGTAGTCGTTTCTCTTTTCTCTTCACAAGACAGTAATCTCCCCCAAAATGATGACTTTAGCCTGTTGAATCAAAAGGCACTAAAGTCAGGCCTAGAGTGGCAAAAT